AGGGGAGTGGGGGAATGGGGGAGGGGAGTGGGGCAGAGTGGAATGGGGGGAGAGACGTGGAATGAGATGGAAGGGAGAGGAGGAAGAGAGTGGAAGGGATCAGAGATTAGATTTGGGGGGAAGAGAGCGGGAGGTGGTTGGAGGACAGGAGCCGGGGTAGAGGTGGCAGAGGGAAGAGTGGGGAGTTGGTGGAAAAGAGTGGGGGTGGAAGGGATAGAGTGAGGGATGTAGGAGAAGTGTCAGAAGAAGTGCAGTGTGGGACGTGTGGAGGACCCAGACTGAAAAAAGTAGATTCAGGTTGAGAAATGAGAGAGTAATGGAAAAAGCAAATGATATGGAAATGAATAAGATAGATTGAGAGGGGGAATGGGAGACGGTGAGTGGTCTGAGAAACTGTGTCAGATTGAGAGATGAAGTTGGAAAGATGGGGACGAGGAATAACGTAAGAGTAAAAGAAAAAGGAAATTAACACTAGGTGAAAGCGTGCGACAAGCAAATCGGGAGAGGCTGAGTAAACATGGTAAGAACACAAACAGTTTGGAGAAGGAGAGTGTCTGAGAAAAACAAGAAGGAAGAGCCAGAGGCAGTGAACAATTTCCTTGACCTGTGTGTAGATTATAACCCTGTCGGATTTAGAATGTGATTACATAAATGCCCGAGCATGCTGCTCTAAACTGAACAAGGTAATTGCCCTGTGTACAATGTGTGTTGTGGGGAGGGGAAGAAAGGGACTGATTGAGAGCTTCCTTCCGGATGCTGCAAAACATGGCAACCATTGTGAGCAGGTCTTAAGCGCATTCAGACAGGTTTTTGTCTGTCTGATCTCCCTTTCTCCCAAGGGAAATGTCATTAATCTTTGATGGGAACAAGCCTAATGTTGTTGGCCCATCCCTAATTGTTCTTGAACTGGCTCACTTGGCCACTTTGTGTGGGTCTGGAGTCAGCACAGACAACAGATTTTGATCCTGAAAGGAAATTTAACAATAAATGATAATTTCATGGTCATAATCACTGTCACTGAGACTCGCTTTTAATTCCAGATTCATTGATTGAATTTAGATTCCCACACTTGCCTTGGTGGGATTTCATTCCATGTACCCAAACGGTTAGCCTGGACCTCTACATTGCTAGTCCAGTGACATTACCACCACCCCACTGTGGATCAAGACAGTGTTAGTGTGTTAGAATATTCAGCTCTGGTACAGATTCCCTGCTGGGAAGTTTAACTGCTCATTCTGTGTTCAGAAAGGCTGTGCCTCTTAACCACAGAGCCTGACACAGACAGGAGGGTTGAGTGAAGGAGGGGAGTAGACACTTGACGATTTGCCCTTCCTCTTCCCAGTTATCTCCCGTCCCTGGTTCCCACTCTAACTGGTTTGAAGGTCAGAAGTCACCTCACACCAAGGTGTAGTCCAACAGGTTTATTTGAAATCACAAGTTTTCGGAGGACTGTGAAGTGAAGAAGAGCACACAGACACAGAATTTATACACAGAGATCAAAAGATTGTACAAATGGTGTGAGCAGAGTGTCGACAGGCCGAATAACAAGTTTCTGTAGGTGATCAAAAGTGTCAGACGATGTGAGTAAAGTGTCACCAGCTGAATAGGAATTACTGAAATGACTACACAACAACATCAACAAGTTTCATCCCACCACCAGACTTACCATGGACTGCTCTTCAGAATCATTCTCATTCTTGGACACAGGCATCTCCATCAAGGACGGACACCTCAGTACATCACTCTACCGCAAGCCTATGGATAACCTCACGATTCTGCACTTCTCTAGCTTCCACCGTAAATATACTAAAGAAGCCATCCCCTACGCACAAGGCCTGCGTATGCACAAGATCTGCTCAGATGAGGAGGAACGCAGTAAACAGCTACAGCATCTGAAAGACACCCTCATATAATGGGATACAATGCTGAACTCCTTGAACGCCAGTTCCGATATGCCACAGCAAAAAACTGCATTACCCTTTGTTATCCAGTACTTCCCCTCAGCAGAGAAACTACACCATGTTCTTCGCAGCCTTCAACATGTTATCAATGACAACAAACATCTCACCAAGATCATCCCTATGCCTCCACTTCTCGCCTTTAAACAACTGCCAAACCTTAAACAGACCATTGTTTGCAGCAAACTATCCGGCCTTCAGGACAACATCAACCATAACTCCACACAACCCTGTCATGGCAACCTCTGCAAGACACGTCAGATCATTGACATGGACACTACCATCACACATGGGAACACCACCCATCACGTACACGGCCGATACTCATGTGACTCGGCCCATGTTGTCTATTTCGTACGCTGCAGGCAAGGATGCCCCAAGGTCTGTTGGTGAGGCCATGCAGACGCTGCAACAACAGATGAATGGACACCATGCAACAATCACAAGACAGGGATGTTCCCTCCCAGTCAGGAACACTTCAGCGGTCAAGGGCATTCAGCCTCCGATCTTTGGATAAGTGTCCTCCAAGGCGGATTTCGGAACACACAACGCAAAATCGCCGAGCAGAAACTGATAGCCAAGTTCCGTACGCACAAAGACGGCCTCAACCATGATCTTGGGATTGTGTCACGCTACACATAACCCCACCATGCTGTATTTGTAAAATAATTCTTGCTGTCCTGTTTAGACACCATCACTTTGATAACTTATGATCTCTTACCTTAATTAGTTTATACAGTGTTGGATTACTTGTTATTTGGTTAGACCCTCTGCATGCGACTGTCATACCTATCATGTTTTTCCATCCATTTGGTTTGTCTCCAGCACCACCTTATTTTTGATGTTTTGTAATTACTTCTCTGCCTCAACTGGATTATAGGTCATCCCTTCACTTTCTATTTAGTTGTTGACACTTTACTCACGTTGTCTGACACTTCTGATCACCTGTAGAAACTTGTTATTTGGCCTGTTGACACTCCACTCACACCATTTGTGTGATCTTTTGATCTCTCTGCCTATAAATGCTGTGCCTGTGCACTCCTCTCTCACTTCACCCGACAAAGGAGCAGTGCTTCGAAAGCTTGTGATTTCAAATAAACCTGTTGGACTATAACCTGGTGTTGTGTGACTTCCAACCTTGTCCACCCTAGTCCAACACCGGCACCTCCACATCATAACTAGTTTGAAATCATTGGTTTCTTGAGATCATTTTGAATCGTACTTTTTCTTCCAGTGGATCCTGCCAGAACTGGTTGCTGTTGGAATTGTTACAGCGCTGATGTTTGTCTCCATGCATTGGTTCATATTTCTGCTCAATCTGCCAATAGCTGGCTGGAATCTTTATAGGTAGGTCAAGCTTACTCAGTCAACTACAGTTTAATTCGCTGAGAGTTTTCATATAATCTTAGGGTCACAAAGGAGGAGATAACTGAAACTTGGAAAAACAAAACTCAATTCACCAGTGTCAGCATGGTTTCATGAAGGGGAATTTGTGCTTAAGAAACTTGCTGGAGTACTTTAAGGATGTAACTAGCAAGGTGGATAATGGGGATCCAGTGAATGTGGTATATCTAGACTTCCAGAAGGCATTTGACAAGGTGCCGCGTAAAAGACTGATCCAGAAGGTTAGATCCCAGGGGTTAGGAGTAGAGTATTGGCTTGGATAGGGGATTGGCTGACTGACTGACAGATAGCAGAGGTTTGGGATAAATGGGTCCTTCTCTGGATGGCAAACTGTAACTAATGGGGTACTGGAGGGTTCAGTTCTCAGACCTCAACTATTTACAGTCTATATAAATGATCTGCAAGCAGGGACAGACTGTAACATAGCAAAGTTCACGCATGATAATAAAATAGGTGGGAAAGCAAGCTGTGAGGAGGAGATGAGAAGTTTACAGATGGGTAGTAATAGGCTAAAGGAATGGGCCAGAATCTAGCAGATGGAGTTTAATGTGGATAAGTGCATAGAAAAATATATGGGAAAATTACTATTTAAGTTGGAAGCAGATTCAAAGTGTGTCAGTGCAGAGGGATCTGGGTGTCGTTGTGCATGAATCGCAGAAAGTGGGCATGCAGGTGCAGCATATAAGACAGACAAATGGAATCCTGGCATTTATTGCAAAAGGATTGGATTATACAAGTAAAGAAATGTTGTTACAACTTTATAAGGCATTGGTGAGACTACACCTGGACTAATCTGTCCAGTTTGGTCTCATGACTTAAGGAAGGACATGGTGTCCCTAACGGCAGTTCAGAGGAGGTTCACCAAATTGACTGCAGGGATGAAACAGCTTTTGTACAAGGAGCAGGTGAACAGCTTAGGCTTGTACTTGCTGGAGTTCAGAAGAATGAGTGGGGGATCTGATTGAGGTATATGAAATGCTAAAGGGGACCAATAAGGTGGACAATGAACAGATGTTCCTCCTTGTGGGTCAATATAGAACTAGAGGTCACAGATATAGAGTGAGCGGACATAGGTTCAAAACTGAGATGAGAAGAAACTACTCTGAGAGGTTTGTAAATCTGTGGAATTCACTGCCACAGAGTGCAATGGAGGCAGAACCAATCAACAGATTCAAGGAAGAGATAGATATGTTTCTGATGAAATGTTGGGATAAAGGGCTGTGGGGAGCAGGTAGGGAAGTGGAGTTGAGACAAGGTAAGATCAGCCATGATCATGTTAATTGCAGAGCGAGCTCAAAGGGCTGAATTGCTGACTCCTGCTCCTAGTTCCTTTGTTCCTATGTAAACACATGAAGTAAATTTGAAGACAACAATTCCTGAACACCCTGCAGAGAAGTCCAATATCAACATGATGTCATTTTGTGGCTCTTTCGGCAATGTTTGCATCTAAGACTACACAGTAGGTTCAAGCCCCACTCCAGAAACTTGAGTCCATTATACAGATTCGTGTATACACAGCCACACTGAGGGAGGGCTGCAATCTCGGCAAGTCAGAACTGAGGCAGTATCAGAGGGTCAGTGCTGAGGGAGCACCACACTGTTGGAGGGTCAGTGTTGAGGGAGCGCGACACTGTTGAGGTTTGCACAGAGTAAATTTAAGTGCAGAGTGGAGCATATTAAGGTGTGTTAGGAAATCTTTACCCATGAATGCAGCTTCAAAGTTTGCAACTCTATAATGTGTATCAGAAATCTGTATCAGATAAAGGGTTGTGTGTCTATCCAATTGCATGTTGAAGGATTCCTTCACCTTTGAAGACTCTGTGACCTACATATTGATAGTAATAGCTTGTTTATTGTTGTGATCTTATTTCTGAATGTACTACTGAAGAAACACATCACTATTTCACTGGAGTATAGATGTGATGCCATTTTCTGAATCTGTATTTAGTGTATTTATGAGCTTTGTGCTTTTTAATGACCCCCTGATTGCTCAAGCATAGTCATTGGGCCCACTCTGCATCCAACCCTCATCAAAATATTTGGTTTCTGTTTTTATTAGTTTCTATGAGAAACCTGTTCTTGATAGACAAAGCATTCAGCTTCAGTGATACAGCATTGTGATTTAGTGAAGAAGTGCTGGTTATGACTGTTATCCTATACTACACCTAGGTACCTGGCAGTCCCCTGTGGTAATGTGGGAGTTTTTGACCCAACTGAGATTCATAATCGTGGACAGCTCAAAACTCACATGAAGGAAGCGATGATTAAACTGGGATTCCATCTCCTCTGTTTCTTCATTTACCTGTACAGGTGCGAGTATTTCAGAGACCATTATAACAGATTCGGATACCAAGGGGGGAGTAATTGTTTTATAACTCAATCTGATATTGGGTGGGAATAACTGAGAATGTTTTAAAACAGTCTGATACTGAGAGGGGAGTAACAGAGAGTTTTATTATGGTCTGATACTGGGGAGGGAATAATGGACAGCATTATATTAATCTGATACTGAGGTGTAAGTAACAAAGTTTTATTAGTCTGATACTGAGGGTGGAGTGTGAGGGAGAATGTTCTAATGGAGAATGGGGTGATCTTCTACAGTTTGCTGTCCTGCTTACTGAGAGTTAGACTTCTGATAACTGTGATGGCCTACAATCTGATGCTGTTCTCCTTTACAGTATGATCCTGGCTTTGATAAATGACTGACATTGTTTCTGGACTCCTAAATGGCAGCAAGGAACAAGTGCAGGCTCGGGACTGTCGCTCCCATTCTGGTTTGGTTCAGTTGGAAGTTCTTGAACAAACAAAGGATGCATCATGCAGTTTATTTTTTGGACATGATTGAAATGTGTTTTGAGATTATTTTTTAAACAATAAAGTTACTGTTTAAAAGGAATCCTGGTGCGTACTTCAGAAACACAGAATTGTAACAGCACAAAAGGAAGCTATTCGGCCCATTGTGCCTGCACCAATTCTATTACCAAGTCCCAATTTCTTGCCTTTTCCCCATATCGCTGCATGCCATTTCTATCCAAATAATCATCTAATGTTCTTGAATGCCTCAGTTGAACCTGCCTTCACCACATTTCTAGGCGGTGCCTTCCAGACTCTCCACTACTCTCTGTGTGAGGCTTTTTTTCTCCCATCATCCTTGCTTCATTTACACGTCACTTTAAATCTTTGCCCTCTAATTATTGGAGACAGAAAGGACGGCAGATGCTTGAAGTTAGAATCGAAAAATGTGGAGCTGGAAAATCACAGCATGTCAGACAGCATCCGAGGAGCAGGAAAGTCAACGTTTCAAGTTCGAACCCGAAACGGTGACTTTCCTGCTCCTCGGTTGCTGTCTGACCTGCTGTGCTGTTCCAGCTGCATGTTTTTTGCCCTCTAATTATTGTTTTTTTTTTTATACGAGTTGGAACAGCTTCTGGCTATCTTTCTGGCATGCTTATGGTTTCGCAAAGCTCTATCAAAACTCTTTGCCTAGGTACCTGGCAGTCCCCTGTGGTAATGTGGGAGTTTTTGACCCAACTGAGATTCATAATCGTGGACAGCTCAAAACTCACATGAAGGAAGACCACACGGTAGGTTCAAGCCCCACTCCAGAGACTTGAGTCCATTATCCAGATTCGTGTACACAGCCACACTGTGGGAGGGCTGCAGAAGAGTCCCAAAGTTTCCTCCCACGGTCCAAAGATGTGCAGGTTCGGTGGATTGGCTATGCTAAATTGCCCGTAGTGTTCAGGGAGGTAGAGGGTGTATATTAGGTGGGTTACAGGGGGAATGGGTCTGGGTGGGATGCTTTGAGATTTGGTGTAGACTTGTTGGGCCGAAGGGCCTGTTTCCACACTGTAGGGATTCTAAGATTCTTGTAAATCGCTTCAACTCACACTTTTATAAACCAAATTAATTTTAAAAAAAACTTAGTCTCTCGAAATTACAACCAGGACATGCCTTCTGGAATGTTTGGTGCCTTCTCCACTGTTCTTCAGTCAGGAACGCCTTTCTCTGTCAAATTCTTGTGTCGGGAATATTAGCTAAGAGTGCTGGTGTACCTTTAGTCAGTTGACGGTTTTCTGAGAGTTTAGAGATATTCTCTTCAGGGTGCTGGTTGTTAACTCTAATAAAAGGTAATTTTCAAAAGCCCTCTTCTTTTATACCCTTGATTACTTATCAATTTCTCACAGTAGGATTGGTCCTATGTTGTCAAAACCATCAGATTTAAATTTAGAGATAACACAGTGTGGAGCTGGAGGAAGACAGCAGGCCAGGCAGCATCAGTGGAGCAGGAAAGTTGACGTTTCAGGTCAGGACCCTTCAGAAATAGGGGAGGGGGTAGGGGGAACGAGAGCTCTGAAATAAATAGAGGAGAGGTGGGGCTGGGGAAGGTAGGTGGGATGATGATAGGTGAGTGCAGGTAGGCAGTGGTGGGGATTGGTCAGTGAGGTGGGAGGAGCAGATAGGTGGGAGAGAAGATGGACAAGTTGTGTCAGGTCAAGGAGTCAGGGATGAGAGGGAGGGTTGGCCATGGGATGAGGTCAGGGGTGGGGAGATTTTGAAACTGGTAAAGTCCACATTGAGACCATTGGGTTGTAGGCTCCTGAGGCAGAGGTGCTGCTCTTCCAGCTTCTGGGTGGTGGCATTGTGACACTGGAGGAGTGGGAGGGGGAGTTGAAGTGGTTCACAACTGGAAGGTGTTGTCGTTTGTCACGAACAGAGCGCAGATGCTCTACAAAGCGGTCTCCGAGCCTCCGCTTGGTCTAACTGCTGTAGAGGAGGCCACATCAGGAGCAGCGGATGTGCAGGTGAACATTTGTCTGACGTGGAAGATTTTTTGGTTCCTTAGATGGAGCTTAACCAAACTCGTCCTTACCCTTGACAGCTTCTCCTTCAACTCCTCCCACTTCCTACAGACAAAGGGGGGGTGGCCATGGGTACCCACATGGGCCGAAGCTATGCCTGCCTCTTCATAGAATACATGGAACAGTCCCTCTTCCGCTGCTACACTGGCACTATCCCCCACCTCTTCCTCCGCTACATCGATGACTGGATCGGCGGCACCTCGTGCTCCCACAAGGAGCTTGAACAGTTCATCAACTTTACTAACACCTTTCACCCCAACCTCAAATTCACCTGGACCATTTCCAATACCTCCCTCTCCTTCCTGGACCTCTCTGTCTCCATCTCTGGTGACCACCTCAAAACCGATATCTATTTCAAGCCCACCGACTCCCACAGCTACCTAGACTACATCTTCTCTCACCCACCTTCCTGCAAGAATGCGATCCCCTACTACCAATCCCTCCGCCTCCGCCGTGTCAGCTCCCAAGATGGGGCATTCCACTCCCTAACATCCCAGATACCCTCCTATTTCAAGGACAGCAACTTCCCCCCCCCCACTTTGGTGGTCAGAAATGCTCTCGACCACATCTCTTGCATTTCCCTCAAGAAAAACAAAGACAGAATTCCCCTTGTCCTCACATATCACCCTAACCAACCTCTGGATTCAACGTATCATTCTCTGCCACTTCCGCCACCTGCAATTTAACCCCACAACCAAGGATATATTTCCCTCCCTACCCCTATATGCCTTCCATAGGGACCACTCTCTCCATAACTCACTTGTCTGCTCCACACTCCCCCACTAGCCCCACCATCCCTAGCACCTTTCCCTGCAACCGCAGGAAGTGCAACACCTGCCCCTACACCTCCATTCAAGGAACCAAAAAAACCTTCCACATCAGACAGAGGTTCACCTGCACACCCAGTAATGTGGTCTACTTCATCATATGGCATTTCCAATATTAATCTAAATACTTATGAAATGTTTTGATGGCTCCTGTCTCCACCTCCCTCTGGATGAAAACAATTCCTTCAATGCCCCCAAAACCTCCAGCTTTTTACCTTAAACCATTGCCCCTTGATTATTAATCACCACCACCACACCTCACCCCACCCCCCCACAAAAGGAAAATTTCTCCCCATTTTTTATTCATTCATAGGATGTAGGTGTCACTGGCTATATCAACGTTTATTGTCCATCCTAGTTCCTGCAATCCATGTGTTAGAGGTTGAGCCACAGTCAAGTGAGGATGAAGAGGAGGCTTGGAGGGACATTGGTGGTGACATTCCCATGCACCTGCTACCTTTGTCCTTCTAGATGAAAACAGTCCTAAGTTTGGAAGGTACTGTCAAAGGCACATTAATAAATTTCTGCACTGTATCTTGTAAATGGTACACACTGCTGCCACTGAGCTTTGGTGGTGGTAGTGGAAGGAGTGGATGCGATGCCAATCAACTGCTTTATCCTAGATGCATCAAGAGTGAGTTCTGCTGGAACTGTACTCATCCAGGCAAGTGGGGAGTATTCTGTCACACTCCTGATTTGTGCCTTGTAGATATTGGACAGGGTATGGGGAGTCAGGAAGTTACTCAAAGATTCATAACCTCTGACCTGCTGTTGTAGCCACTTTTTCTTTGGCCTGTCCAGTTCTGTATCTGGTCAATGGTATCGCCCAAGATGTTGATAATGGGGAATTTAGTGATAGTAATGTCATTGAATGTCAAGGACATTGGTTATTGCCTCACATTTTTGGTACAGGTTACTTGCCACTCATCAGACCAGACCCAGTTATCATCAAGGCCTCGCAATTCATTTGAGCATGGATTACTTCAGTATCTGAGAAGGCCGTGAGAGACCTGACTGAGGTAGACAAAAGGAGTTTGTAAAAAGGCCATAGATAGGTAGATGAGTCAGTGAATGAAAAGTGCAGGAGGCATATATGAAAAGTGACATCTCAAACTGGTGAAGCTACAGAATAGGACTATGTGCATATGAAACAGTATAAGCAGCAAGTGATAGACCAACAGATCAGATCTAAGCTTTGCAGTTCTGTCATTTCATTTGTGAAAGGTGACTGACACTTAAACAACTCACTGGAAGAGGCCCCCCACATATCATTAGCCAGCATTTCCACCACCTACCAGACACATATTCCCCTCCCCTCCCTTGTCAGTTATCTGTGGTGACTGTTCCCTCCATGACACCCTGGTCCACCCTTCCACTTCCAACATTCTCCCCACAGCTTCATGGTATCTTCCCCTGCAATCACAGAAGGTGTAAAACCTGTCTGTTTACTTCTTTCCTCCCCAGTATCCAAGGGCCCAAACACACCTTACAGGTGAAGCAACACTTTCCTGCGCTTCTCACAATCTAGTCTACTGCGTTCGCTGCTCACAATGTGGTCTCCTCCACCGTGGGGAAACAAAGTGTAGACTGGGTGACCATTTGACAGAACATCTACGTTCCAGCTGCAGAAAAGACTCTGAACTTCCAGTTGCCTGCCACTTCAACACACCACCTCATTCCCTGTTCCAACATCTGTCTCAGGCTTGCTGCAGTGTACCAACAAAGCTCAGCACAAGCTGGAAAAACAGCACCTCATTTTCTGCTTGGGGACCTTGCCGCCTTCTGGTCTCCATATCAAGTCCTTATCCCAACCCCTCCACACGACACCTTGTTAACACAGTCTGCCATTAAACACAACCCATTGTTAGCCACTAACAGTCCTCTTTAACAGCTATTCACCCTCCTAGTAAGATTGTTATCTACTCCTTTGTCTGTCCAAGTGTTCTGTTCTCTCTCTGGGCTACATCCTCACCTATCATTTACTCCTTATCCCCTCCCCCACCCTAACTTCTGCATATGAACCAATATTTTCCTAGCTACCATCAGTTATGAGGAAGGGCCACAACCTGAAATGTTAACTCTGATTTTTCTCCACAGATGCTGCTAGATCTGCTGAGCTTTTCCAGCAATTTCTGTTTTTGTGCCCTACAAATATCCCCAGCCTCAATGAGGCCATAGCCTAGCACATCAGTAAAAAAGATAAGGCT